CTGACACCCCTTCTTATATTGATTGTTTTATTTACCCTAACCAAATAAGTGAGTTTTAGACATATTACGATAATTCTGTTTTGCTGTTAGTTTCTTAGTAATAGATAAGTTATGCACCTTATAATTGTTAGGACTCTATTTACCCAGTAGTGCTTGAAACAATTGCTAAGTAGTTATAGTAAACATCCTTTAGGCGCTAAGGGAGAAATTCAGCTTTGGTAAAGATTGAAACATAGTTAGGATAAGGTAGTCATTAGTATAGAACGGATCAGGCTGTATCCTGTAACAAAAACATCAGGAGAAGGTAAAACTTTGAGCAAAACAACTTCTCAGAAAAATAGACCCTGGGAGAGAACATGTAAGAAAAACAACTTCCTAATGGGTAAAAGTTTAACTCTGGAAAACAACAACTCAATAATATAGTCAACTGTCCAGTATAAAAAGGACATGCTCTAAAAAATAAACTGAGACACTTCTTCTTGAAAGCGCTCCTGTGTCTCCGTGCGTCTTTCTTCTTTTTCCTCGCCGACTCCATCTCCACCTGAGGGAACCCCTGGACCTGTGTGAGCTGGTCTCCCGCACCCCAATTCCCCAATAAAATCTTTTTAAAATTTTTTAAATTTAAAAACTAAAAAAATAAAAATAAAATAATTTTGGAGTAAAAGTGTCCTCCCTAAGCACAACTACAAGTTCAGAAGCAAAAGACTGATATATTTGTCTAAATAAAAATTTAAACCTCTGTACAGAAAAAAATACTATACACCAAAAGGCAGAAATATAAAATATATTCACATTGAATATAAAAAGATAAACTCCTTTCATATATAGCTTTTACAAATGAATTAGAAAAAAGCAAAAATTTAAAAATCTTGATAAAAGTGCTCAACCTCATCCATAATTAAGAGACCATTTTTCATATTACAGTCTATTTATCTTTATTCAAAATATTGGTAACAGCCAGTGCTAACAAGGTCACAGGCAGAGAACTTGTCATGTACTGATGGCAGGAAAGTAAATTGATACAATCTTTTTGGAGGGTAATTTGGCAACACCAAAATGTTGAATGCACACACCCTTTGAACTGGAAATCATATCCTTTAAGAAATACAAACATGAGGGGTGTAAATGTCTATTACGTTGCTTTGTACACCTGAAACTAAAAGAAAAAGAAAAAAATACAATCATGATTGCCCTACAGACATGGTTCTATACCTGACTTCTTGAGCTCACATCAGGATCTGTAGCTAACTCTCATTCTTTATAGGAGCACAGTATTCCATTACACTGATGCATCATATTTTTATCTGACTAATTCTTTCCTGAAGTTATCATCAATAATTCTTGTCCATATGCATAGAGAACTGTCTGGGAAGAGACAGAGAACAGTTAAGAGTGTTTACTTCTGAGGCCGGCCTAGTGGCTCAGTTGGTTAAAAGCTTGCTCAAGAGTGCGAGCTCTGAGCAACAGGGTTCCCGGTTCAATTCCCACATGGGCCAGTGAGCTGTGTCTGAGCTGAACTGTCAACAAGTGGCAGAATGGCTCAGCTGGTGAGAGCACGTGCCTGTTTGAGACTGTGGGCTACACCTGCCCGCAACTAAAGACTGAACTCAGCACCTTGAGCTGAGCTGCCACACGGGTGGCTCAGTGGATAAAGCATGTGCTCTTAACAATGAGGCTGCTGGTTTGACTCCCGCATAGGATGGTGGCTACACCCACCCACAACTAATTGAACACAGCACCTTGAGCTGAGCAGCTCAACTGGACTTGGAGCTGAGCTTGCTGCGCCCTCCACAACTAAGACTGAAGGACAGCAACTTGACTGTTCCCCTTCCCCAATTCCCCAACACTGTTCTCCTCCCCCAATTCCCTAACATTATTCCCCTCCCGCAATTTCCCAATAAAAATCTTTAAAAAAAAAAAAGTGTTCACTTTTGTAGATATATACTTTATAACTCAGAGTAGAAAACCTACGGAGTTTTTTTCCTGGGAAGAATCATGACGATATAAGGAGAATCTACTATATAATTTTTTACACAAATAAGGAACTCAAGAAACAATAACATCTAACAAATGGCCCAACGCCAGACATACCTCCAGACGCAGCCAGCATTGTTTACTCACCGATGGAATGTCTAAGCTCGCTGCACTGGCTATCGGGGGGCAGCTTCAGCATCTCCCTCCATCTTTTACTGCGACCACTTTTTTTGCCATATCCTCCTAAATTTGGGGGGGGGAGGAAGACATTGTTTTAAATGATCAGAAATATTCAATTATAACAACTACTTCCACTAATGTATTCTGTTTGAGTATTTGGGTATCTTTGATGAGGGAAAATACAAGCTTATAATAATTTGTCTTATCTGGAAGGCAGCCTGATGAAGTATAAAACTCCCAAGTAATACAGTCACTGACTGTCATTTAGAAACCATATAACCTTGACCTTGAGTCTCCGGAAGATATGGGAGGAGAACGTCCCCTGGCGAGACAAGCACGGTGGGAAAAGCTGTTAGATAATATTTTAGAAAGATGGCTTAAAGGAGTACCTTTAAAAAAATTTTTTTTTATTTTTTATTAGGGAACAGTGTGTTTTTTCCAGGACCCATCAGCTCCAAGTCAAGTAGTTGTTTCAATCTAGTTGTGGAGGGTGTGGGGATCGAACCAGCAACCTTGGTGTTATGAGCACTGCACTCTAACCAATTGTGCTAACCAGCTTCCCCTAAAAA